CTGACCCTTCAGGCAGTCAGACCTTAAGGTTATCTTCCCTTGTTCCCTGAAGATTGCTGTTGTTCTGTTCTTTTTCAGGGTGCCCTGATTTCATATTGCTCAAACACACATGTTTTACAAACAATTTGTACAGTTAACGCAGTCATCACAGGGTCCTGAGGTGGCATACATCCTCAGCTTATGAAAATGGTGGGATTAAGAGATTAAAGTAAAGACAGGCTTAGGAAATTATAAGAGTATTGATAGGGGAAGTGATAAATGGCCACAAAGTCTTCACAATTTATGTTCAGAGACTGCAGTAAAGATAGGCATAAGAAATTATAAAAGTACTAATTTTGGGAACTGATAAATGTCCATGAAATCTTCACAATTTATGTTCTTCTGCCATGGCTTCAGCCAGTCCCTCTGTTCAGGGTCCCTGACTTCCTGCAACATTATGAATGTTTGATAATTTTTGAAAGAAGGATTTCAGAGGTGTTAATATTATTATCTGATGCTCTCATGTGCAAATGGCTTCATTACCAATAATCTACTAGACTAATTTCTTCAACAAGCTGCCAGGCACTGAACTCATCTTGACAGTACAAAAACCAAATATATATCATTCTCAACCATATGCATTTTGGAGTTTAGTGATGAAGACAGATCTTTAAAAAAAATAATTAAACATAGTCTAATAATGTAGCTCTAGTGTTCTAAGGAGGGACAAAATTAGAGAAGCCTCCTTTTTATGGGGAGGTATGTAGAGGTGGATCTAAACCATTCTGTGATTCTCTCTATGAGGTAGAAATTTTGACACCAAAAGACAGAGACTGGTCAAAAAGTTGTACTCACTCTGTGTTCCTTACCAAATGCAGGGTCATATAGATGGAATTCTTTAATTGTGTGAAAGGTTTTGGGTCCTAGAACTGTTCTGGTCTCTTTGAAGATAGGACAAGCAATGGAGAAACTCACTGTGCAACCAGGATAGGGGAGAAGGGTTTCTACCTTCTTCATTGCTCTACTCAAGGCAGAAATTATGGGCCTGTAACAGTCACTATCTCCTTTTACATTTTTTGGGCCATCAAGGAACATATTTCTTTCTAATTTTTATAGACACATACAAAGCAAGCAAGTATGCCTGGCTGCTGGGATTCTGGGTTCAAAGCAGAGAAAGAGGCAGAAGGCCTTCTATCCATCGTGCATTTTTTTTTCACTGAATCCCTGTGTTTCCAGTCCTTACAGAATTATTGAATTCTGTATTCTTTATTCTTGAATCAAGAACTTCTTCATTTTCTCCAGAGAATAAAGCCTCCAGGGGTGTTTAAGGGCAAATCAACTTCTATGTGCATTCCCTTTTGTAGAATTTGTTGTAATTTTTATTCTGCTAAGTCAGTTATCACTTTTCCATTTGCTTTCCACCTCCTCTAAATCTGTTGAAATTGATAGTATTTTTTTTTAATTTGTAGATTAGTTATAGGGTGACCATATAATTTTCATACAGACCAAGATCCTTTTGGAAGTGAAAGGGGACCGGGGGTGGTGGCTCATGCCTGTAATCCCGGCACTTTGGGAGGTTAAGGTGGGTGGATCACCTGAGGTCAGGAGTTCGAGACCAGCCTAGCCAACATGGTGAAACCCTGTCTCTACTGGAAAAATACAAAAATCAGCCTGCTGTGGTGGTGGGCGCCTGTAATCCCAGGTACTCGGGAGGCTGAGGCAGGAGAAACACTTAAACCCAGGAGGTGGAGGTTGCAGAGAGCCGAGATCTTGCCACTGCACTCCAGCCTGGGCGACAGAGCGAGATTCCGTCTAAAAACAAACAAACAAAAAAGTGAAAGGGAGTGCTTAATAATCACCAAGGGACAACACTTGGGCAAAGAAAGATATGTGTACCACCCTAGATACTGCCTTCTTTATTACGTTATTGGTGTTTTTGTGTGGTTTTGGGAGGGAAAGAGAAAAATATGTGTGGTCAATGGCCATTTTTACTGAAAGTTAATTTCTTGCATGTCTAAAAATTATTTTATTTTGCTTTTTTCCTAGACTGGCAGTTTGGCTGAGTTTGAGCATCAAGTTCAAAAATGCTTTCCCTCAGAGCTGTTAAGGCATTGATTACCCTGTTAATTTTTAGCATCTAGTGTTATTTCTGAGAAGCCTGAACCACTCTGATTTTTCATATATGACCTGTTTTTCCTCTATGCAAACTTTTAGTCATGCTTCTATCCTGGCTGTTATGAAATTTTACAATGTGAATTTAGGTAGGTTTTCTTTTCATTCACTATGCTTGACATTTAGTGGGCTCTTCCTAACTATAAATTTATTTTTTCTTAGCATTAGTGTATTCTATTATTTTTCTTAATTTTCTTCCTTCTCTTTTCTATCTCTAGAATTCTTATTACTTGGATGTCATACCTTCTGGGTTGACCTTGTGTGTTAGTCAGGGTTCTCTAGAGAAACATATATATATATATGATATATATATCTTTTATAGTTGTTTTGTTCAAGGCAACGCATCTGACTGAGGATAACATAGGGATCTACGAAGTCTTGAACACTGAAGACACTTTGTTGTTATTGCCAGTTAAATAGTTACTACCTCATCAGTTGTTTGTGTAGCCTGTGTTTCATCATAGCTAAAATTATTATTAGAATTTAGAAAATCATTCTTTTTGTATTCAGTCTTTGATAGATATTTCTATATCAGAAGTTTATTATGGGAATTGGCTCATGGGATTATTAGAAGGTGTGGATTCCACAATAGGCTCTCTGCAAGCTGGAGAACCAGGAAAGCTGGTGCTTTCCAATTCCAAGTCCAAAGGCCTGAGAACCAGGGGAGCTAATGGTGAAATTCCCAGTCTAAGGCCAAAGGCCTGGGAACTAGGATGGAGGGCAGGGCCATTGGGGTAAGTATCAGAGTCCTCAGGCCCAAGAACCAGGAGCTCTGATGTCTGAGGGCAAGAGAAGATGGATATCCTAGCTCGAGAAAACAGAGAAACAGAGACACAGACAGAGACAGAGGGATTTTGCCTTTCTTCTGCTTTTTTGTTTTATGTGGGCTCTCAAATGACTGGATAATGTCCACCCACATTGGTGAGAGTGGATCTTCTTTACTCAGCATATGGATTGAAATGCTAATCTTTTTCTTAAACAGCTTCACAGTCATACTCAGAAATCGTATTTCATCAGCTGTCTGGAAATTCCTTAGTCTAGTCAAGCTGACACATAAAATTAACCATCTCACCCTCCATGCATCTTATTTATTTATTTGTTTTTGAGGCAGGGTCTCACTCTGTCACTCAGGAATGGAGTACAGTGGCATGACCACAGTTCACTGCAGCCTCGACCTCTTGGGCTCAAGTGATCCTTCCACCTCAGCCTCCCAAGTAGCCAGGGCTATAGGTGTTCACCATCACACCTGCCTATTTATTTATTTATTTTTATTTATTTATTTTTTTGGAGACAAGGTCTCACTAAGTCACCCAGGCTGATCTCAAACTCCTGGGCTCAAGTGATCTGCCCTCTTCAACCTCCCAAAGTGCTGGGATTACAGGTGTGAGCCATTGCACCTAGCTGCATCTTATCTTTTCATAAATATTTTCTATCACTATGTCATTTTCTAGGACATTTCTTCAATCATATAGTTTATCCCTTCTATTGAACTCATGTCAACAATCACATCTTTACTTCCAAGAGCTCTTTTTATCCCTTTGATTGCATTTATCCCTTTTCATAGTTCCTTGCTTGGTAGTTTTTTTCTTAATTATCATCTTGATTCTTTTTGAGGATATTAGAGGTGCTTTATATAGTTTTGTTTTAGTTGACTGTAGTTTCCTGAATTGTTACTATATTCTCTGGAATTAGTTACTGTGTTTATCTTAGTTTTAGATTTTTATGCTGCCATTCATGCCCCCAAACATGTGGTGATCCTTTGTTGTTGTTTCATGGTCAAAATGAAAGACTTCATATTTTAGGTAGCTGATACAGATTTCTCTACAGTTAGTTGTATTTTCTAGTTATGTTTCTCTCACAGAATTTTTGTTATAAAAGGAATCTACACATTCTGTTTATGTTCTCTTTGTCATCAAGAGGACTGAGGAATGACCACAGAACTAAAATCCCTTTGAACTGATTTCTTGACAACTCCCCAAATGTTTTGTAGTGTCATTGTTTCTGTCGCCAGCTTCCTTTACCCTCCCTGCATGGCAGGCTCAAGGTTCTACACTCTGCCGCCCTCGCTCAGACTTCTCTGCTAAGGCTGAACCCCCAGGGCCATGGGGCAGGAACCTTTCCACACCTTGCCCTCCCCTTGGAGCTCTATCAATTTTTCCTTTATATGTATTGAGGCCAAAAGCTGATATGCTCGTGGTAAGCTGAATCTTTTATCATTGTGAAGTGATCAAACTAACCTTCTGTCCCTGAGATAAATCCCCCTTGGTGCCTGTAATCCCAGCACTTTGGGAGGTCTGACACGGGCAGATTATTTGAACTCAGGAGTTTAAGACCAGCTGAGGCAACATGGTGAAACCCTGTCTCTACAAAAATAATATTTAAAAAATTAGCTGGGCGTGGTGGTGCATACCTACGGTCAGAGCCACTTGGGAGGCTGAGGAGGGAGGATTGCCTGAGCCCAGGAGGCAGAGGTTGCAGTGAGCCGAGATCACGCCACTGCACTCCAGGCTGAGTGAGAGTGAGACTCCATCTCAAAAAATACGTATTTTTAAAAGAGTCAAATATAAAAAAAGTCTAAACATTCCGCAGAATATATTTTGTCTTACTTGGATTTTCGGGTTCCATTGGAATGAGGTAGAATTTTTATTTCTGGAAACCAGAGAAAAAGAAAGATGAAAGGAAATCCTTCAAACTAAATTTTCAATGAAGCAAAGGAACAAGAGAACACATGCTGTATGATTACAGGTAAAACCCAGACCTATTAGGAATGCACAATGTGTATTTGGTGTGCGTGTGTGTGTGTGTGTGTGTGTGTGTATGTAACACATATACAATGCCGTATTTTTCAGCCATGAAAATGAAGGAAACCCTGTCATTTGTGATAATATGGATGAACTTGGAAGACATTATGCTAAGCAAAATAAGCCAGACACAGAACAACAGGTACTGCATGATCTCACTTATACATGGAAACTAAAAAAGTTGAACTCATGGAAGCAGACAGTAGAATGGCGGTTACCAGAGGGGGGGTGGGAGATGGGGAATGCGGAGATGTTGGTCAAAGGATACAGAGCTTCAGTTATGTAGAATGAATTGTAACAGATTGCCACAATTTCTCCTAAGATAAAAAGAATGGGTTTTTTAATTATTATTATTATTTTCTTCTCTTCTCCTCTCCCCTTTTCCCCCTGTTCTCTGTTGTCTACGTAGTCCTTTGGAAATGCAAACATAACCTATCACCTCCCCATCACCAGACATACCCTTTAAACAAGTTTCAAGACAGATCTCTCCTCAGGAGTGCACAGTCGATTTGCAGACCAAACCATACCCATCACAGAACTTCCACCATACAGGGTCATCTCAGAACTTTTACCTACTAGGAGGGCATGTCGAAAGCATGCCCACCTGGTCACTTTTACAACTTACTTCTGACCAGAAAGATACCAACTTGACTGCCCAGTGGATAACTGCCTGAGAGCAGGGAGACCCCTCTGTCCTTGCTCACTTCTCCCTTTAACTTATAAAAATTCCACTTTTTGCTCCAAAGGTGAGGTGACACATTCAAAGCAGGACATGTTATTCTTCTTTCCCCAAGCCAGCTTTGGAAATAAATTCACTTTTTTTTTTTTTTGTGCCAGGCCTCACACTTAATTGCACTCTGCATGTGGTGAGCAACTAACCTGCTTTTGGTTACACAATGAGTTTTAGAGACCTAATGTATGTCATGGGGACTATTGTTCATGCTGTATTGTATACTTGGAGTTTGCTAAAGGAGTAGATCATGTGTTCCATTACTCTTAAAAAAAAGGAACTATGTGAAGAGGTGGATATGCTAATTAGCTTGAATATAGCCATTAGTTCATTATGTAGATGTATGTGGAAACATCATGTTGCAGACCTTAAATATATACAATTTTACTAAAATTTTTAAAAAGATTATTTTAAGCAAACATTTACAGTAGCATCAAAATATAAAAACTACATTGCAAAGGATGTGGAAACCCATATGCTGAAGACTACACAATATTGCTGGAAGCAATTAAAGACCTTTGGAATAGGAGGTGATTGTTCTTATTTTTCAAGGTTGTTTTTGCTATTTGGGAATACTTGCAATTTTTTTCTGAATAAGAAGTTCTTCTTTTTTATTTCTGAAAAAAAATAGGCCACAGAATTTGGATAAGATTGTATTGAATCTGTAGATTGCTTGGAGTAGTATTTCTATATTAACTATATTAAATTTTCCGACCCATGGACACAGGATGTTTTCCCATTTATTTAATTCTTCTTTGATCTTTTTATGCCATGTTATGTAGTTTTTAGTGTACATATATTTCACCTTCTTAAATTTCTTCCTAGGTATGTTATTCTTATGGGTGCTATTATAAATGAAATGTATTAATTTTTCTTTAAGATTTTTCATTGCTAACAAACCTGGTTTTTATCTGTTTATCTTGTATGCTGCAAGTTTGCTGAATTAGTTTATTAACTCCAGTAATTGTGAGTGTGTGTGTGTGTGTGTGTGTGTGTGTGTGTGTGTGGCAGAGGGTGGGGGGTGTTAGTATTTGGTATTTTCTCTATATAGGGTCATGTCATCTGCAAATTGAGATAATTTTTTTTTTCTTTCCAAAACTTTTTTGCTCATCTTCATTTTTGAAAGATATTTTGACTGGGTATAGAATTCTAGGTTGACAGTGTTTTCTTTTTTCAGTACTTTAAAGCTATTGCAAACTTTTTGTTTGTAACAGTTCTGATGAGAAATTGGATGCCATCCTTACAGTTAGTCCTCTGTATGTAACATGTCTTTTCACCTTTTATTCCTCTGAGGAGTTTCTCTTCATCACTGGTTTTGATCAGTTTGAGAATGGTGTTTCTTGGTGTAGTTTTCTTCATGTTTCTTATCTTCAGGATACATTATGTTTCTGGGATATTTGGGGTTTATGGTTTTCATGAAGCTTAGAAAGCTTTCATCCAGTATGGTTTAAATATTTTTCTATCGCTCTTACCCACTCCATTCCCTTCAGGGATTCCATTTACCCCTACAGTAGAGTATTTAAAGATTTCCCACTGATGGGGTTTTTAGTTTTTAAATTCATTTTTTCTCTATGTGTTTCATTTGTGTTAGTTTCTACTGCTATTTCTTCTAGTTCAATATTTTCTACTGCAATGTTTAATTCAGTGCATTTTGAAAATTTCAGACTGTAAACTATAGTTTTCTCTTATGGAATTTGATATTTTAAAATATCTCCAATATCTTCACTTAAATAAAATTATAACTGCTTTAATGTCCTTATCTTCTATTTTTAACATGTGTGTCATTTTCAACGGAATTATTACATTCTTCATTATGTTTCATGTTTTCCTTTCTTTTTTGCCTGTTTGATTCTGGGATTTGATGCCAGACATTTGATGTCGATGCCCAAATGTGTCCAGTGACACAACTCGGCCTCAGTTTTTTTTTTTTTAAATTTTTTAATTATACTTTAAGTTCTAGGGTACATGTGCACAATGTGCAGGTTTGTTACATATGTATACATGTGCCATGTTGGTGTGCTGCACCCATTAGCTCGTCATTTACATTAGGCATATCTCCTAATGCTATCCCTCCTCCCTCCCCTCTCCCCACAATAGGACCCGGTGTGTGATGTTCCCCTTCCTGTGTCCAAGTGATCTCATTGTTCAATTCCCACCTACGAGTGAGAACATGCGGTATTTGGTTTTCTGTTCTTGCGATAGTTTGCTGAGAATGATGGTTTCCAGCTGCATCCATGTCCCTACAAAGGACACGATCTCATCCTTTTTTATGGCTGCATAGTATTCCATGGTATATATGTGCCACATTTTCTTAATCCAGTCTGTCACTGATGGACATTTGGGTTGATTCCAAGTCTTTGCTATTGTGAGTAGTGCCGCAATAAACATACGTGTGCATGTGTCTTTATAGCAGCCTGACTTATAATCCTTTGGGTATATACCCAGTAATGGGATGGCTGGGTCAAATGGTATTTCTAGTTCTAGATCCTTGAGGAATCGCCACACTGTCTTCCACAATGGTTGGACTAGTTTACAGTCCCACCAACAGTGTAAAAGTGTTCCTATTTCTCCACATCCTCTCCAGTGCCTGTTGTTTCCTGATTTTTTAATGATGGCCATTCTAACTGGTATGAGATGGTGTCTCATTGTGGTTTTGATTTGCATTTCTCTGATGACTGGTGATGATGAGCATTTTTTCATGTGTCTGTTGGCTGTATGAATGTCTTCTTTTGAGAAGTGTCTGTTCATATCCTTTGCCCACTTTTTGATGGGGTTGTTTGTTTTTTCTTGTAAATTTGATTGAGTTCTTTATCTGGATATTAGCCCTTTGTCAGATGAGTAGATTGCAAAAATTTTCTCCCTTGGCCTCAGTTTTTATACATACCCAAGCTCGTTCAGCAGGAGTGGTAGAGACACTATGACAAATGAAGTGTCCTCTGGAAATTTGTAGTGAAGAGAATGAATGAAGTAACTGGCAGAAATTAGAGGTCCTGGTAGAACAAAATAGAATCCCAGAATGCGAACACACACCATGCATGTCGCTGAAAGCAAGACAATGTTTCCTAAAATCTCAAGAAAAATCACTTTTGGTAAGTATCTTATATCAAGTGAGGCGTCCATGTACCAAGGCAGTGGGAAAAGTTTATTAAGGATGCAAAAATCAGTGAGACCTGATTCTCTCATGAGGACATGGTTAAGGATGAATGCTACTCAGTAAGTGATGCCTAGGACATGCACTTTTGAATAGCTCGTGAGCAGCAATGTATTTAATTGTGAATCTAAACCAAAAACCAAGGTGGGGACAAGGTGGGAGACATAGGCTGTCAGTGGTATATGTTTGGGTTGAAATAACACTATCAGAAATGGCAGGTAAAGAGGTCAGAGAAGAGGAAAATAATGTCTTTGATTGTTACAGTGTTAAAATTTGAAGTTGAAAGATATAATTTTAAATTTGTAAACCAAATATTAGAAATGTGTTAGGTTAAAAGGGGACCAGTGATGTCAAAAACTTTTTAGTGCAATGTTAAATAGGATCTATACAATGCTTCCTAAATAACAAACAAAAGGCACACACATGCACACACACACAAACACACAAAGAAAACAAATAACATCGACAAAGAAATATAGTAAATACAATCTACTACATATGATAAATAAGACTAAAATATGGAACAGTTTAGAATATAAACAGGTAAATAAGAAGGTTTTTATTAATCTATATTCTTATCCACAAAACCAATAATAAAATAAAAGCTTAAAACATTGTATGTAAAAAATCTACTAGTCCAGGGTGATAGGCAAAACAATTTAATTAAAGAGATTCAAAACTTAAACATTTTAACTTTAATAGACTAAAATTAATTTTGGATGAAAGTTAAACTTTGGGCAGGGAATGTTCTTTTCTATGACAGAATGCCAGCAAAGACAAGCATATAGTAAAATTTTGAGAAAGACAATTTCCAATGTAAAAACATAAATATAATAACTGATACAGGCAGGGGTGATTAATTGATGATAAAATACTCAGAGAAAGATTGTTAGAATACAGGATATTGATACTATTTCAAACCACTTTCGAAATTAATTATAAACAAGGTGTCTTTACAAGGGACAGAGCTCCTAGATGCCTCCTTTAGCAAGTGACCATCCTAGTATCACAACAATGGGGATGGACACACTGGGCCTTCTCTGCCTGCAGATAGACTGAGGTAGGAAGCTCACAGCGTGGACTCTGCAGTGTTCTTGGCAAAATGTTTACGCTGAATTTATTCATGAGGACATTTTCAGGTAATTTCAGAATGTAGACCATTGAGCCAGACAGCTGACCTGTCCTCTACAAACAAGTCCATGTCACCACCATCAATGACAACAATAAAAAGATAAAGATACATTTTGGGTTCAAAATGACTAAAAAAGCATAAGATACTTAGTATTTTTACTCTTTTTGAGCCCAAAATGTCTCTTCTCCTTTTTGTTGTGTTCTTGGTGGTGACATGGACTGTTTGAAGGAGACAGGTCAGTTGTCCTGTTCAATGTTCTACATTCTGCAGTTGTCTGAGGGTTACCTCCTATGAAACTCAGGCTAAGCGTTTTCAGCAAGAACATGGCATTGTTCATACTCTGCCCTGGCAGAGTCCCGGCTGACATGCTGTCTTCTGCCAGCAGCTCCTGACTCCTGTTCTCTACACGATGGGAATTAAGAGGAGCAGGGCTAAGGCCTGTGAATGCTGTTTGTCCATCTGGGCATTGGTCTCCCTAGGCATTGATTACAATTGGAGGGGGATGGACTGTGGCTTCTCAAATCAAAGGAGTGTAGTGGTTTGAAATCATCAAGAGTATTCTGTGTCTAAAATTCAATCCTTAGTGAAGGACCCCTGCAGGGTTGTGTTTGGACTTGAACTTGCTTTGCTGTTTTAGTTGTTTTCATCAAGTGGAAAAGCTACTTTTTGTGACATCCTTTCACCCTTTGCATCCTTCCAGCAGTATTTGGTATCTGTAGGGGAGAGAGAGAAAAACTCAAATGAGCATTTTTGTCAGGTCCTCCTGATGGTTATCTGGAGGGGTTGCTAAGTAGTGATATCTCAGGGGCAAACTGATCTCCTGCTGGGAGGATGAGCTGAAAGGTGAGCCATGGGCTGGCTGAAGGGGGAAGCACCATCCACAAGTGAGAAGAAAAAACTCCTGAACTTCCCTGAACTTCCAGTCAACCTGCGGTGCAGGATATAAGGACTGCACCTATGCCCAACCAGGAGTGGAGAACATCAGCCCCTTTCCTCCTGATCCCCTCTGTCTGGAGCAGAGTGATGGCTTTTCCTCCCAGTGAGGATGTGCTCAGCATCCATCATGCCTGCCAAGAAGCAGAGAGGAGCAGAAGGAGAGGACCTTTTGCAGAGAAACCCACCCCATTACAACTCCATGTGCTAGTCTTCTAGGGAGGAATGGGAAGGCCATGGGAAGAACCCCAGATGTGAGAAGCAGCAGTGACCTGAGACAACATCCACGTCCAGGTCCACCTTTTACAACAGAGGAGTAGTGATGCCACAGGGGTAAGATTGAAATA